TGTGTGTTCATGTAAAACATGTTCTTTAATAGGTGGCTACTCATTCTGTGCAAAGTTTAGTCAAATCAAAATCTAAGAATATTTATAGAAGTTAGACCATCAGAAATACTTAATAGTGCGATGTTGTTTGTACCAAGCTCTTGCAATTATCTATTGCATGCTGAGGTTCATGTATATTTTTGATAACAATCTTACGGGTTTTTGATGTGCACAACTCTTGTAAGTCCAATTTGTGTTTTTAATGTTATCTGCAGAACAGTTTTCTCTAGTGAGCAGGTTTTTAATTGGTCTGATGCTTCTGGTTTATTTAGGAGAAAGCAACTGATCCTGATAGCAAACTAGCTTCATGAACTGAGTTATATAAAACAGACTAATGATTCCATCTTTTAGTAATGATGCAGTAATATTTAACACTAAGTAATGACCATCTAAGGATAGGGAATTTGAAGGATTATTTTAACTAAGGGAGTGAAAGGAAGAGGTGTGGTGAGTCTCAGAAGAAGAGAGCATTTGTCACTCTCTTCAGAAAGCACTAGTAGGACTTTGAATTAGGAATTTGGATTTCTTGATATTATTCAACATACCAGATCCTATTTCTCTTGATTTTGAAATATTCAAGAAAGAGATGTATTGCTCCTGCTTGGAGAACCACTTCAGGTGGTCTTTCTAAAAAGTGTGGTTTTGTAAGCACGGTTTTCTGCTATATTTGCAGTCTTCCCTTCATTTTGGGACTGGCAAACACCTGTTTTTTCTTTGACTAATATTTTGAGGTACCTTTAATAAAGAAGTTAATTTAAACCATCTATTTAGAGTCCCTTTTATAGTAACAGAGTTTAATTTAATGTTACTGGATTTGCATGCTTCCAAGTACTTTTTAATTCATTTCTGTGCAAATTAAACAGCTAACCCTGAGAGAGACAGGCAAACGCTCCAGTGAAGTGACTGAGTTCTGCACTTCCGAGAGCTGCGCGACGTGGAGCCCACTGATGGGCGTTAGTATGCTTTGCCGGTGAGAAAATGGACCTGAAACAAGGTGGCTGTGTGAAACCTGATTCCCAAGAGTGACTGTTCACACCAGAAGTTGAACTACAACAATTTTTGCAGTGACTTTCTTAGGCCTGGGATAAGTTTAGGGATTAGTCAGGCTTCAGTATCGTATTTTTAGAAGTACCAATGGATGGGGTAGTTGAGTATACAAGGTTTTTTTTGTACTGGGCTCCCTAAAAAAACAAGTTGGAAGGGTTTTTGCTTGTTGCTTTTCCTGCTAGTAGCTGCTTTTCAGTTGTGGTTATCAAACTCTCATGTTCATGAACATCTAGTGCTGCATTTTCTGAGTCACGGTACCTGCGAGGGGCTGTTTTGGAGGAACCGTGGAGGTATGGTTTCAGTGACAAAAGTACAACCGCAAATGATCCTGATGACTGTCTGACTGAGTTGATCATCATCACTTCTTAGCTTCCGCGCCTTATTTCTTAGACTTAACCACATCAGCAGTGTACCATCTCAGAAACCAGTAGCTGAAATGGAGAAGATGGAGATGGGTGCAGGCACTGTAAAGCGGCTCAGAATAGGAGTATCAGCTGGGTAATCCTGAGCTTGGGGAGCTGTAAGTGGGATTATTTTTGTTTGTGCAACGCACGAAGTCTGCTGTTTAGCAGCTTGTAACAATTTCTGTTATAAACCGGAGTTTGTCACTTGTTGGTCAGAGAGCCAGCGAGGTGGCCTGAGCATGTTAGCCAGCTGCCGAGCGGCTGGCCCATGGGCCGCGGAGGCGAATATTAACATCATCGTACTGGACACTAAATCTGACCCTCCTAATTTTTAAAACTCTGGACATTCCTTTAAAGACAAACATGCAAACGCAGCAAGTTTTAACACACCGAGCAGAGGGAAGAGCTATAAGGATCATCCTGTTTTGTGAAGAGGAGACCAAGATCTGGCTTCTCCAGCATGTGAAGATAAAAGCTGATAAGGGTTTCTCACCGCGATACATTCACAATGAGGTGTGAATATGAACTCTGACAAGGCTGAAAAGATACCAGATTCTTGTTGACACAAGACTAAGTGGCAATAAGTCGGTTATAAATAAATTCTGGCTTGAAATGAGAAGGTGGCCCATACTGCCTGCATCAGCTGGGTGCAGGACAGCCTTTCCAGGAGCAGTGGGAGAGGTGCTGCTGGCAAAACTCCAGCTGAAATGTTGCTGCTTTTGTTGTATTTCTCAGGAATAACCGTATTTAGTGCTGTGGTGTGTAAAACACTCACAGGGAATGCGGTACACGCAGAATGTGTCTTTTGTTATGCCTTTGCGTGCCTTTCCCATGGAGGAGAAAGGTAACTAGTAGAGAAACAATGATAAAGTTCTATTGAGAAATACTACTTATGATAAGAAAAAAATCACTGGGAGCTGCTATTTATGCCTCCTTTCTGATAATGCCATGAGGATGGCCAACATGTGTCATTCTCTCCTGGAAAATTATGGTACAGTTTGACTCTCTCTAATGGCTGCCTTGTTTCATTTTTCTGAAATGCCATGTTGCTGGTAGGAAGAGAGCCATATACATACAACCTGTGCTCACAATCTGGGAATTGGCATAGCGATGTTGTATTGCTAAGCAACAGTTGGCATCATGCTGTCTGCTAGAGCCATTCCCCATTAGTCCTCTTTGCCTGAAAAATCCAGATCAGCATCTAGCTCAAGGTTTAAGTAGTGAAAAAGAACAGTACATTGATATCTTATTTTGTGTGAAGTTTGTCATTTGTTTTCCTAGTAAAGCATTAAATAACAATTCAGAGAAATGCAGTCAGGATGTGCTTTCTTCATCCTAGAACAGCAAATTCTAAGGATCTTGGTGCCTTGCAATAGGATGTCTATCATGTGAAGTGAAGCCAGTTTCCTATACAGCCAGCCATGCCAGATCTCACCAAATAGGGCATGAAATAGCTACATCATGTACAAATGTGCATCTTTATACTAGTGGATTGTAGGCTTAAAATACATCTTAATTATTCTCTTTAGTGCGTACACACACTGTAGGATTTAAACCTCAAAAGATGAAGATTTGTGCACTGGAGAGCAATATTGATAGCCCTGGATTTTAAATGCCTTTTTTGGTTAAATGAAGACTTTCTTTGCTGCTTCTGCAAAAGCTAATTGTATACTTGCTCAGAAAGAAAGCACTTAAAAAGTATAAATAAAAATCCCAGTGGGAGATACTACTAGTTAAGCAGCTCTGGGTGCCTACCTGTTGTTTTAACTTTTGTGTCATTATTGACAATACTAAGTGAAACTTGCTGCTAAGCTTGTTAGCTAAATATCAGATATGCACTGAAAATTCATCCTCTTTCTTGATTTGTAAGAACCTGGGTAATTTTTGTTCTATATAAAGTTTTTTATATTTGTTTTTTGTTTGGTTTGTTGTTGTTGTTGTGGTTTGGTTTGGTTTTGGTTTTTTTTTTTCACGTTCACTGTTCCTGTGAATCTCCATTTTAGTAACTACAGTGAATCATACAACATTCCCAGTCTCCAGTTTTTGCTAGCTACATTCCCAGCTACTCAGTGATGTAGGGTCATTCTTACAGTGTATTTTGACCAAGTTCTTACAGTGTATTTTGACCAAGTTCAAGAAAGAGGTATTTTGCCACTTCCTTTGTTGAGACTTTTCCTTGGTCTAGCAGATCCCGTTGTAGCACTGGTATTAATTTTCATTCTCCATTTCTTTTTATTTTGTTTCATCCTTTGCTTCCAAGCTTGTTTTGTACACTACATTTGCTTCAGCCTTTGGTGTGTTCCAGTAACCTTTGTATAAGTACATATGCATAGGCGTTAATATATCCTTCATTTAATGAGTAGTCAGACTGTACATACTAAGCTCCCTTAATCTTTTAAAATTATTTCTGGTTATTCTTCCTGCCATTGGTTAAATCTTATGTTTCTTTTCTAGTGTGTCTTTCTGGTACTTCAATTTGCAGAACAAATGCGTTGTGCCAGGAGTGGGTGTAAAAAGGAGTGTAAAATAGTGAATGTTTTGCAAGGAACTGATTGATTGTGTGAACCTGTTCACAAGCTCCACTGATGCAATGTACACACGTGCACAGACACGTTTTCTGATCGTAGGGATGAACCAGAAGACTAAGCACTGTTCTTTGTACTATTTGCCCGTTGGCTTTTCAGTGAAGTTCAAGACCTTACTACCTGCAGGAGAATCTAAATGCCCCAGCACCTTATCGTTCAAGGGCATCCTTAAGCAGTTGATTTTGGTCTTGAGTACTTGTTAGATGGTAAAGGTTGGAGTTAAAGGGAGCTTCAGATGGGAAATTTTCAAGTTACAAGTTTCTCAAGAATATTTTTCCTGACAGAAATACCTATCAACCAGGACTGTTGGCCTGGCAATATTCAGTAAGATTTTTACATGCACTGTTGTCCAGATTTTTGCAGACTTCTTCCAGACTTTTCGTTCAGTATCATTCAGAAAACTTGGATTTTTTTTTTTTCCTATCACTTTTTAAAGACACTGTTGCTTTTGGAGGTTGGTAAAGGTGGTTGTTGTTTTTTTCCCTGTAGAGGAAATTGTTTTGCCAGGACCCGAGCTGTGTGATGTATGCCCAAGTTCTGGTAATATGAGTCATGGCATTGAATGATGCTATCTGTAATTTTACAAAGTTATTTTGGGGACATCTGAAAAATGATAGAGTTATTTCTTGGTAGAAAGAGCAGGATAGAAGGACTTCTACAATAGGACATAGGCCTTGCTTGCTTACCGTATCATGCACAACTTAAGAGTATGTAATATGCACAACGTACTTCCAGTGCATGGTCAACTTCAGTGTTGGAAAGCACTTCAATCTGTAAATCTCCTGGTTTGGGATAATAGCTCCATTTCACCATATGAAAAATTTGAAGTGTAGAGTGTGAGACAACAGAAGAATCAGAAGTCAAACCTTGTTCTGTGCCTTTGTGTTAATCTAATGATATATTAATAACTGTTTCCTATCTGTAGGAAATCTGTCCAGTCTAAGTCGTCTTGGCCTGAGGTACAATAGGCTGTCAGCAATTCCGAAGTCTTTAGCAAAGTGCAGTGAACTTGATGAACTGAACCTGGAGAACAACAACATCTCTACTTTACCAGAGGTGAGAATTAGCAGGAGTGGATTTGGGAGGGAATGTTGTTATAAGGCATCAGTGTTTTGTAGAGGGATTGGAACATGTGAAATCACTTCATCTTGCATCACAACTCTGAGGAATACCCTTTGTTTTAATCTACATGTGTGTGAAATATTGCAATTCTGTACATATCAGGTGTGTCTAACTAGTATAGAAGAACTGATGTCATACAACTTCAGTCAAAAGTGGGAGCAATACATGTGATGGTGTGCGTTTGTCCTGTCTCTTTAGAAAACCTTAAATAAGGAGTCCAGGTTCCCACCGTTTAAGCTAGATAAGAGCCTCTCGGTGTTTCTGTTTCATGGAGGTAGGGAAGAAGTAGAAAAATGAAAAATGAGAGGCAAGAACGACCTTAAAGAGAGTGGGTAAAGCTTGTCACAGCTACTTGGCCTCAGCATTCTCGTTTTAATGTGGAAAAGTGTGCTGTTAACACCGATGAGAGATCATCTGGCAACTCATTGTGACATACCTTCTGTCAGTTATTAAAAATAAAAATTTGCATAATTTTTCAGTTTCCAGTGATTCTCTGAGGATCATGGGAGAAAGAGGAAGACAAATCCATTTTCTTACTTTTCTTTTTAGAGTTGCTGCACTTGATTGTCTTACCTTGGTCTCTCTTGCTTCGAGCTTAGTGTGGGACCAAGGAAAATGTGCATAGTTGGAAGTTCTGGAGCCACCTTGTCAGTCTCTTCAAGTAACGTGTTCCCTGAACAGAGCACTTGCCAGCTCTGGGGTGGAGAGGCAGAAAGTCCTAGTTCCCCATGCATCTGTACGTTTTTCTATACTCCTTCCCTAGAGTTCTCTGAAAGGTGCCCCTGTGGACTGCAGTTTCACCGTCCTGGATAGCTATAGCAGGTGGTTACAGAACACTTTTTAAATACAGCTTTGATGTCTGCAGGCTTTGAAACTATTTCAACTGTTGGTTATACCTTTCATCCTGATTTTTCTTTTCTTAGTCCCTTGAGACTGATTTATCAGAGTAGCAGAGTGTGAGATGCTCGGATGCATCCTGCATACTTTTGGTGCTAGTAAACATTTAGAGAAAATGTTGACTTGGAGCATTAGTGCCTGGGCAGAATTGCTCTGATGACAGGAGAAAAAAAACCCAATGTGATTGATTCTTATTTTGGATATTTCTTCCATTGCTTTAGAACTGTTTGGAGTTGAAGGCTTCAGGACACAACATAGAGTTTTATTCTGTTCTCTTTTAATGATGGTTCAAACTGCTTTCCTAAGCTGTTTAAAAACAAACAAACAAACAGCCAAGTATAAATGATTAGTATCAAATAATTCAAAATGTATCTGAAAAGGTATAGAGGAAACTATACATAGAAGAAAAAAACCACAATCCATTTGGAGTTAGGCAAAGTATTCACAGTAACAAAATGCAATAAGTAACTACTTCAGATAAATTTCTAAACTTGGCAATGATGGACTGAAAACAGAGAATTTAATAAATGTTTGGGTAAAACTATCATTTAAGAATGCTACTGACTGAAAGCCACCAGGCTGCTTTTCAGATGAGAGCTAAGGTAGCCCACCCCACCCAGACATATTATAAATGCAACTACAGTATAATTACAAAAAGCTAATGTGAAGAATGATTACTTGCTTTGAAATACGTTCAGTCATAATACAAAACCCTTCGCGACTGTGCTGCTGCCTTCACGTATATTTGCCAACACTATGTTAACGTTTAAGCTGCTACCTTGCAGAAGTGTATAGTTTATACTGTAATCTGCTCAAAGTAAAACATTCTGTGCTATAATACAAAGAACTGTATTTGTAGAAGAAAATTCTGAATTTCAAAGCATAGCTGAAGCTGCTGACACAATGCCTAATAAATATTTTATCTTAAAAGGATGGGCTGGGGGAAGGCAGCACTGTCACAGCTCTCATAGATATAAGAGCATTGTTCTCGTTGTACTGCCAAAGCTCTCTTGCTTCCCTTCAAATGTGTTTAATTACTCTAGGCTATTAGACTGTATTAGCTAACATATTTTTAATATTTTTTGTGTGGAAGCAGACTTCAAAAATGGCTTTTTGAAATGCCAAGATCCATTTGAAGCAATAAAGTGTGCTTGTAACAGAGCTCAGGGACTGCCTAACCCTAGGACAAAGAATATCTGTTAATTAAAGTATAGCTAGAAGCAGTATTTCCTAATCAAAGATTATACTAGTTAATGATTAGGTTAGATTAATACCGATTTGAAGATCCATTATTTTATCTTTAGGGGGAAAATTGCTTCACTGATACTTGCCAAGATGCCCCCAGAATTGTATTTCAGTGCTTGAAGTTTTAGCCATGACATGTAGACAAGCCCCTATTTAATCCTGTGGGGTTTTTTTTTGTTTTTTTTTTTTTTTTTTAAATAATTTTAATTAACTTTATAAATATTTTAAATAGTTTTGTAAATATTTAATATTCAGCTAATTTGATTTTGAATTGTAAATGTCAAGTATTCTGGTATTGGGATTTTTATGTTTTATTATACTTTGTTAAAAGTAAAATTGTACATTTTTAGAATGTTTTTATCTGAGTAAATTTAATGTATGGAAAATAAAGAGTTAAACAGAATCCCTTTGTATTTTTTTTTTTAATTTAAAGGGGCTTCATCCGTGTGGGGGCTTGGCTTTTAATCCTTGGGGGGTTTTTTTTTTTTTTTTTTTTTTTTTTACAATAATGTTAATTAACTATTTAGAAAAGTAGCCAAAGCTTTCCTGGTGAAAGAGCAAAGCCATGTTGTTAAAGCTTTTACAGTGAATATAGCACTGAAATTGCAATCCAGAAATACTGACATTAGGAATATGGTTGGAATCGTTATCATCTTACTGCTTATTCCTGATTGCAGATGTTGCATTATTTATGGTATGTAATGCCATGCATCAACCTTCAATTTCTGTAATACTTAAGCAAATAGGGCTGAATTCAAGTTGGCATAGTAATAAGCAAAGGTGACGCTTCAGCAGTAATTTAGATCTCATTATTCATCCCCACAGTTTCAGCAACGTGCTTGGCACGTAACTAACAGATAAACTCGGAGATCCGTGCTGCTGAGATTGTAGAATCTAATTAGATTGCAAAGAGAAATGAGATGAGACTCTGGATTCAGTGGGCAACCATTGCTACCCGGTTTAACTCCGGGCTTCTTGCTTTTTATTTCCTAAGGGGGAAAAAAAGAAGTGGAGTAATAACGATTTAGGAATATTTTGAAAATAGGGGAAAAAAAAAAAAAAGGAACTTCCAAAACCTTGCCTTCCCATTCTTTTTCTCTGCCCTGTCTGGTTATCTGAAACTGTTACAGCCTAAAAGCAAACTTCTACCAGATGTGTTCATCTTACGGATTTTGATTATACTAACAAAGATTTGTACTGGAAGTATCAAACAGTAGTTTGAAAAATGGTGCATGCAGTTGATACTTCTTTGGGCCCCACTCTCAACTGTGGGCAGGCATCAAAGTCGAGTGAGCCGCAGTCGGTGGCGTTGGCCGAAGCCGGGGCCGCTGGTCAGGACGGGCACGCTGCTGACTGCGCCTGCCACAGCCGCTGCCCCTGCGCTCTGCTGAGCTACCCAAGGCATAGCCACGTGTTATTAAAAAAACTCCTTTTGGAGGAGAAAAGAGTTACAAAAACTCCTGAACTTGCGCTTTTAAATGTGATATGTGTGCTTTTTTTGTATCTGGCAGTATGTAAGGAGAAAAGGGGGAATAAGGTAAAGGCTGATAACTGCGAGCAGGGGTTGTTGCTGATAGAAGTTTTATCAAATTTAACACTGGATTGTGTGTTGCAACACTTATTTAGGGGATGGACTTGAGGGGGGGGGGAAACATTTCTAATTAGACCCAGGAGGGAAAAGAGATGTATTCAAATAAATCTGTCCTAAGTTCCTGGGTGGTTTTCTTCTCTCTACAGGGTCTTTTATCCAGCCTTGTCAAACTGACTAGTTTAACACTGGCCAGGAACTGCTTCCAGTCCTATCCTGTGGGTGGCCCGTCCCAGTTCTCCACAATCTACTCTCTCAATATGGAGCACAACCGCATCAATAAAATCCCCTTTGGAATTTTCTCTAGAGCTAAAGTATTAAGTAAGCTGAACATGAAGGTGAGGCACAGAAACATGCTACTGTGTGTAAAATCAATGAGGAGCACTGTTTGCCGCTCCGTGAATTCTGGCAAACTGAACGATACAAGGAATGAGTTTATCACACTGAAGTGGACGCTGCTGCTGTCACATATAGAAACAATTCTGTATTAGTTTAAAAATGCACTATCGAGATGTTATTGATTTGTCTTTATTTTTGTTAGTTAAGCTTTTGTCACATTTGCTCAAGTTTGAACAAGGAAACCAAGAAAGTTGGTTGCAAAGTTCTTGAATATTCAAATGAGACATAAGCATGTAGAGTGGCTTATTTCTTTCCCCTCTCTACTGTTACAGTTTAGATTAAAAAGAAAATTATGTAAAATATCTTTTTTTACTATATTCTTTCAAAACCTAAGTTTGGAGACTTTTGGCAGTAGTTGTAGAGCACAGGCAAAAAAAACTTTAAGTCTGTGCTATGTACCCTTAGAGTGAAGAGAACTAGGGAAAAGAGATGATGTTTTTCTATGAAGGGGTTTGTTCCAAGTTTTAAAATTATTAAAAAAAAAAAAAAAAAGTTTGAGCAGTATCTAAGCTGAGATTCTGTTTTAGAATATCTTTTGGCACAAATGGATTCTCAATTTGCATTAAGACCGTTTTTTATCACATACCCGTTCGTAACTTTGGATGTTTACCAGGACTTTGTATAACCTGTTTTTTTAGATTTTTTTAGTGTCTGGTCTAGATCAAATTTTGTAGCTACATTTTGAGCAGTAAGATGTTCAGATTAATTTCAGATGCTTTTACTCTGAGCCATTAAGGTGTATTTCCTTTGTGGTGTGTTTGGTATTGGTTTTTTTTTTCTTGTTCGTTTTTTTGGTGGTGTGTGTACACCCCCCCCACCCCCTATTTTTTGGGGGGGCTGTGTGGTGTTTCGGTTTTGGTTGGGGTTTTTTTTGTTTTGGTTTGGTGGGTTTTTTTTTCTAGCTAACTCCATATATTTTTAGGATTCCAACGTTGCTGATAGCACCTTTGTAAGTTATGGTGAATTTTCTGTTCTTCCTGCTCCCCCGCATTGTATTCAGCAACGAAAGGACAAAAAAATGTTGTAACTACTGAGGTGCACGAAATCTTGGAATTATGTGCTTCTAATTTTTCCACTTCAGTTCATATTAGTAACACAGAGTCAATTCTGTTACTCTAGGCTGGAACTGATTATTCTGTTTTGAGGAACTTTAAAAAATATTTGGGCAATTGTCAACATTTTATTCTTCTGATTTAATTATCTACTATTTTGTTATGAAGTATTTTGTAAGCAGTTACTCTCGGATACCATGCTGACTTCTTTCAAGCGCAGACCCTAAATGTTCGATGTGTTAAATCACAGGACAATCAGCTGACGTCTCTCCCCTTGGACTTCGGGACTTGGACTAGTATGGTAGAACTGAATTTAGCGACTAATCAGCTCACAAAAATCCCTGAGGATGTATCTGGGCTTGTTTCCCTTGAGGTGAGAAGAGTTTAAATGAACAGCTAATTGAATCCCTGCAAATAGGCATTCTGTACTTCAGGTTTAAGTAATGTTACTTTGGGGTCAAATAAAGCCAAATAAATATATGCATGTATGCTATGTAAAGAGATGTGTTGCATCTGTTTACGGTTATTTTCAGCAGCTTTTTGAATATTGTTCTTTAGGCTCCACATGAGTGTTTGTGGACAAAGAGTTAAGTACATACATATTTTTAACTATATAGAAAGAAGATTTCTCTCAACAGAAAGTTACTGTTGTAAATGCAATGGCACCGAACGCAGTTTGATTCCTGGAGAGACCAGCATGGAAACAGCAGGGATCAGATAAATGTAATGAAATATTCTACAGCCAGAGATGGCTTGAATGTAGTACTGTGAACCTTGTAGGCAGCCGGGTGGGAATTCTCAGCCTTTGAGGGAGAAGAACGCGTAGGTTGAAACGATGGACTAAACCTGTTATGTCCCTTAGTCCTTTCCCAAGGTACCATCAGGAGAGACAAATGTAATTGCCTTGGAAGGACATAAAGATAGAGGTGCTTGTTCGGGCAGTTGAGGGGACTTCATAGCCTCTGTGAGTTGCTGGGAAAAATCTGTTGAAGTACAATAGCAAATGGCATATTTGAAATTGCAAATTTCCAGTGTCACTGCTGCTCTGAATAATTAATAATTCCTGTAGTTTGGGGCAAAAATTATATGGCAGTGTAATAGCTATTTAGTGGCCCTGTTCCCTTTAAGTTAAGCCTGTGATTGATGGGATTGGGAAGTTAGCAACCTCCAACAACTGGATTTGCCGGTGCTCTGCCAGCTGCTGAAGCTGGAGAGCTGCACAGGCTGCAGACCCGTTAGCACTATTTTTCTCTCTTATTAAAGAATCAAATACAAAGAACTATTTAGGCAGTGTTTACACAAAAGTGAAGGTTCCCACCGCAGTGCTAAGTCAGCTGCATTGCATGTAGGTAATATTTTCTGTTCCTGCCTTTGTTTCTTGATACGCGATTAAAATGTTACTATTCTTATCGTTCTGTGTGTATCGTAGCGCATAAAGGAAGGCCACCGAAATACTGCTTGTACGAATGCTAAGATGTTGGCTTTTATTCATTTTGATTTACAGTTTGATTTGTAGCCTTGTTTTCTATTCTGTTCCGGCCTTCAGTGTTTCCATGTTGTACAAAGCTAGTGAGAGCTGGGATTGGTAGAAGCCAGGCATTTGCAACCTTGGCTGGCTTAGCAGGGAGCTGTGCGTGGCTAGGACGAGGGTCCACACTGGGTGCTCTTTCACATCCTTCTGTTTCAATGTCCCTTGTTAAATAACTAGATAATAGCATTGTTTAATTGGTAATTAATTACCTTACTGCTCACTGTGTTGTTAAGAGGCTTGATTACTTCCAAGGACTGTTAGACTTTTCCGGAGGGAAAAACGGTATACTAGTGTAACCCCTGTTAACTTGCTTGTGGTATAATGAATAACTCTGTGAAATGACGTTGCAATTAAGGGTACTTTTCTTGAACCTAGGACATTTATAATTCAACTTAGAAAGAAGGAGAAAAACAAGAGGATAACACTCTAGTAGGGGCGGGTGTGTGATAGGAGATCATTTTGAAAAAGCCAGTGGATATCTGTGCAGTGTTCTGCTTCGGTGCTCTGCTCTGTATGTTTACTTGCTGCTGCTCCTAACCAAAGGGACATAGGGAGAAGAGGAAGTATTAAGCTTTTTAAGGAGGACTTGGCAAGCATAGCAAATAATGTAAAACATAGTTATGAGATAGCTATAAGGAAGCATAACAAAATGGTAGGGAAGTCCAGGAAGAAATTGTTTTTCTTTGGTCATTTGAAGAAATAAGGTGTTCTTTGTTTTTGTTCTGCATTTGTTATTATGTAAAATAATATTTGAAAGAATTATGTCATAAATCTATGTATCATTAAAGACTTAAAAAAATTGTTAATCACTGATTTTATTTTTTTTGTCTTTTCAGTTTGCTTCCATAATTTGAATGTAGGCTAATCTTGGACTTCATTCCTTGAAAATATAAAATGATCCTGTCTTAATTGTTATTTACTAATTGCGTTGCTGAAATTTTGTGTGTGGTTTTTTTTTGAGGTTCTTATCTTGTCAAACAATCTACTAAAGAAACTTCCCCATGGAATTGGAAATCTACGGAAACTCCGAGAGCTAGATCTAGAGGAAAACAAACTGGAATCCTTGCCAAATGAAATAGCTTACCTCAAGGATCTGCAGGTGAAACAATAATGGGCTGAGATAAACATCTTACGTCCTTTATTTACACCATGCTGATTTAATTACAGCTAGTTTGATGAGGGAAACTATTTGGGACTGGACATAGAACCAAAACTTAAGAATCTTGCGCAACTTCGTCCACAATCTGTCCCCACTAATTCTTCCCCAGTTTTATCAGTTAATACTGAACAAACAAATTTTGAAGAGTTTAACTGTTGTACCATGAGTACAATGCTGCCACAGGAATAGCCTCTGATTTCAGTCATGTTCATGAAAGCTTTTATATTTAGGCATGTATTTTACTATGCACTATTTTATTTTTATGTTTAGTGGTGCTTAATAGAGGTCTGAAATGTTGAAGGGTAGAAATTTTTTTGTTCAAATGCTGGAGAGTAGAACCCGTCAATTTATCAGCTGTATATGTTGTTACTTGCTGTCATTCGAAGCAGAAGTCATTAAGTTATTTTTTTAAAATGTGTTTTTTCCCCTTAGAAATTGGTTCTGACTAATAATCAGTTGACCACCCTTCCCAGAGGTATCGGTCACCTTACCAATCTGACGCACCTTGGGCTTGGAGAGAATCTTCTCACACACCTTCCTGAGGAAATTGGTAAGATCTCTTTTTCTGGTTTTATATAGTGTGCCTGAGCCAAAGCAGTTACACTCACAGAAGATAGGCATCTACTGTGCTCGTAAGTAGAGGCCACAAAATTCATGTGAAACTTCTAGTATACACAACCTGATGTGAAGCATGTGCCACAGGAACAGCACTATAGGGTATGATCTTTATCTTGCTGAACC